ACTAATATGAACCTGCACTGATTTACATTAACCCTTTCAAGTCTCTTGATATTTGTGCTTTATGTCATAAAAATGCTTAAACGGGTCATTGTTTTCATCTTCCATCACATAATCTTCTTTGATTAAAATGATGAATTCTGGTCATTTTTTTTTTTTTTTTTTTAATCTTATTTACTATCGTCAATGTTGCAAATGCCCAATTAAGGGGACCTGGTGATTTTTCGTCGATTTTCGCCCCTCTTGCCGAAATTGACTTTAATACATTTTCAAGGAGTTTCTAGGCCCCCAGTTCCCCCCTGAAAATTTCAAGGCCCGACCGTTATCTTTTAGGTGGTAGCAGCGATTTTCGATGTCGACTGAAATATTATTTTTTTGATGTTACCTTAGAAAATCGGCAATTATGACGCAATGATTAGAGATAATAAAAATATGAGGTTATTTTCTGAAAGCTTATCAAATTTCACATAAGATGAGACCAACCTTCTTTTTTTCGGAATAATTTTAAAAATCCGGCAAGCGTCCAAGAAACGACAATGAAGAAATTTTCCATACAAATAACTAAACATATGTTATTCATATGGTGTATTTTCTTTTCTTTATGTTTTCATCATACATAGTTATTTTGATCTATGGGCAAAAAATTTCGAAAATGCAAACCTCCTCCCCCCACCCATGTGGGGTAGTTTTGCCAAATGTTCCGGATCACCACCAAAATTTTATGGAATATTAATTAGGCTAAAACAAACCTCAAGTTAAAATCTTATTCAAATCTGTTCATAACTTTTCGAGTTAGAAAAAAAATCCTCGATCCAAACCATGGTCCGTATCACCACCAAACTGCAATAAGCGTCTAAGTTAGGTTAAAAATCACTTTTGGTTAAAATCTCGTTAAAATGTGTTCATAACTTTTAGAAATATTAGAAAACACAAACTAACAAACAAACAAACAATCAACAAACAAACAACAAACGGAAGTAACAATATAAATAAACAAAAGGTCATGGGGTACACGAAAATGATCTATATGTGCTCATATACCTTATATACATACTTTCACATCGCCATGTAACTGTTTTTCGTCTTTCCATGGGGTCTGAGGGTGAAATTTGGCTACGTTACCCCGTAGAGTTATTCCGCAGATTTAAAAAGACGATTTTCATGGTCCAGGACGGCCCGGCCGCGCGGGGAAAAGTATGAGTTTGATACCCGTCCGACTGGAGATAAGTTATTCTTTCGACAAATATTAAACGTTGTAAAACCCCATTAGAGCATCAATAATAGGTAAATGATAGATAATTATATCAAATACAAGTATTCTGTACATGATTTGTCATGTGAAATGTAAACATAATAAAAAGGAATAAGATCGCGATTATTAGGTCTGTCATATTTTTACCCATAGCACACGTATTTTCAGTCCGATTTTAAAGTATTATGGCTCATTTTGTAGCTGAATAATAGTTCTATTACATACTGCCATGAGGATTTGCAATATTTTCATGTGGTTCTTGTAAAAGTGACATGTTTTCAAAATCTATTAGGGTGTTAAAATAGTCACCTTCGGAAAATATTCAAGAAGAAAAAAGTAAGGTCAACTTCTCAAAAATGGCTTCTGCATATAATAGTAGATAGTTCTATTCAAACATGAAATCAGAATGGCTGTATGATTTTTGGGGGATTTTTGAGAATTTTAAAAAAATGGTCAATGTAGGCCTATAGACCCCCAGATCACTGCCACCACTCCGCACTATACGTAAGATTTTGAGAAACCGTTACGTGCTGGCAATGTCCGCAAGACTTCGGAATGCAGGTAGATGATACAGGATTATGGTGTAGGAAGACTAATCTTATGCCTTGTTTTGTTGATATCAAGATAGCCTTGGAAAGATGAAGAAACGTAAAAGGCCGATATCTCGGAACTCCACCTTTAGGGGTGGGTCAAAGGATTCCGGGCACAACATAAGTCCAAAAATAACATATTATGGCTCATTTTGTAGAAAAATAAAATATCTGCAACTTGTTCGAGAGCGTTTTCGCAAATTTTGCCTGTACTTCTTGTAAAAGTGGTCAATGTAAGAAAATTTTTACCTTTTTTTTCAAAAACTCACACAAAAAAAATTGAAGTCGAAATCGAAAAAACGCTCTCGAACAAGTTGTAGATATAAGGTAGTTCTGTGTAAAAATCAAATAAAATTGAATGTCTTGCCGTTTCTGAAGTCGGAATCCTTTGACCCAGGTGCTGCATTTTCAACATGGCGAATTTCGCATTTTTTCGTTTTTTGACAATAATTCAAAAACTGTTAGGGCGATTTCGAAAAAATCGACCACAGGCAATGGGAAGGGGCCCAAATAAAAGGGTGTGAGTTTCATCAAAATCGGCAAGAAAAATCGAAAAATCAAAAAAAAAAACAAAAAAAACAGACGGTCCCCTTAATAAATAATATATACAATATATTAGTTCACATTTATGTCTATATTATATATAAGAATTTTGATTTTGTGGTAAAGGGCAAGTATACCTATTTTTATATGCACATACACATATAGCGTAAACAGACGTGTATTGGCAAAAAGGAAAGTAAAAAGCTGCATAAATGAGGAAAATCGAGAGCGAGGTTAACTGACGTATCAGAACGATTTTTTCTTCTTCTTTCTTTCTTTCTTTCTTTTCAAAATATCAAACATCATACAGCACGTGTATTGAGAGTCGGTTCTTAGACTTTTGCTATTCACCCTCCTGGGAAGTACCTACGTAGTAGTTACTCGAGTTGAAACAAACAAACATGTATTTTCTCGCTAAACTGTTCGAATTTGGATGCGTCTCCCTCTAGAAACGTCAAAACAGTAAATAATAGCAGCGAAAACTGTAATCAGATTTGAGCACAAGATAAAGGACATTCAGAACAACCGAAACAAATTATACATATTTTTCTTAACTCGTCACTAAGTAGTGACTTCGTATTTCCATAGAAGGTATAAATAAACACACAATGATGAAGCATCTTTACATTCTGTAATGAAGACTATAATGCGAAGTGTTTTTTGTCTATTGAATAAGTGTTTCGTTCTGGCAACGAGAAAAATGTATCTATTTAATAGATCGATTAGCCACTACTTGATGGTGCAGCTGCAGAATATATGATGAAGGTCTTTTATACTATTTTTTGTTTGATTTTGCAGTTATACAGAGATGTTTTAAGCATTTAGCGTGTTTCGTGTTTCACGAAATATGCAGCTAAAAGTATTGATACTTGTTGGCTTCACCGGTATAGGTGTTGCCATTTCGATAAACAAACGATTCCAGGACATCGCATTTGAAGAATATTGCACTACACATTCAATGATAACTAATATTGAACATAACGAAAGATAAAATTGCTAACTTTTTTTTTTTTTTTGTGATATTCACTAATACATTCGTTGGTCATTTATATTCGACCTAATCACCCGGAGTTTTAGCCTCTTTCAAGAAAATACTATTTACGCTATGTTTATTTCGATTTGTTGCCAGATGTACAAAAGGGGGACCCAGCAAGTGTACTGAAATACAATTCCGCATCTTATCTTTGCGTTTTCCAGGGCTGTTCTCAGTCTGCCCAACACTGAGATCTACTCTCTCCGCCACCCCCATCACCCTCTCAATTACAAGCTTATTTTTCGCCAGGTAAATACTCTCCTCCGCAGCCTGGTCCACACCAGAGCTCCCTCTACCTCGAAGGTGGGCTCCTTGTGCCTCTTGTGATGAGTAGTCCTTTTAAAGCAAGACAGGCGCCAGTTTTAATATGAACGCCATATCCAGAGTACACAACACTATCTTCTGCCATCAGTGGGACACAGGAAATCAGATGGATTAGTCAGCTGTGCGAATTGTCTTCCCTTCTTCCACTTATTTTTTTCGCCACCGGATTGTCAAATCTTAATCTAAACCATGTCTCTTTTTTTTTTTTTTTTTTTTTTTTTTTTCTTTCTTTCTTTCTTTCTTTCCTGCCAACAGGCTCCTCGCTTCCCCACATCATCTGCTGCGTCCCTATGACGGCCACCCTTCATGTTAACAACGCTCCTTCTCTCTTTTATCATTCCTAAATATATATCTACACACACGCAGTAGTGTTTTCCCTGCCGGACCTTCTCTTTAATTTTAGATAAAGCTTGAATATTTACAAATACAATTTTTAAAGATACTATGCTTGTAATTTGTTTTCACATCAGAGGCTGCAAATGGTCACTTATTATATTGCGGACATGGCACCTATCATTAGCCAGAACTGTTAATAAATAGATGTGAAAAAATTACATTTTTGATTCCTTTCTTAGTTCGAGGTATCTGATGAAAATTAGTCTCTCGTTTTGAGTAAACTAAATAAGTAGTTTTGGTCGACCTTGTGATCAGTAAAACGCATTATTCTCACGTTTGTTTTATTCGTTATAATTATCATTATGATTATTATTATCATCATTATTAATAATATTGATAATATTATCATTATTATTATCAGCATTATCAATATTAATTGATATTGTTAGCATCATTGTATTCAATAATATTATTCTTATTATTATTACTACTAATAATAATATTTCATAACCATCATCATTGTCATCCTCATTATGGTTGTTATTACTATTTCTATTATTATTATAATTATTATTATTACTATTACTATTGCTATTATTTTCATCATGATCAGTATTATTACTGCTACATTATTATCATTATTATTATTATCATCATTATTATTATTACTATTATCATAAAATGCTAGTACGGTATAGATCAGCACTGTAAGAAGTAACATTTCACTCAATCATTCCTTATATGTGAACACATGAAGTCACATGCTGTATCTAACATTTTCAAGAAGCACAAAGTAAAATAGAATAGTATATCTCTCAAGACAATATCAATCTTCATACGGTATTTTATGCATTACTGATATAGGTTGTGAATCAAAACGTCGTACTGCCTTGCGAATTATTTATTCTAAAGTATCGTGATCGTACATCAAAATACCCTTTGCTGTCCAACGCCAGATGAGATGAACGGAGGTACGCTGTACTGTTATGATCGAATGCCCTGTCGTATGCCTCGAAACACCTCAATGTGAGTTGCTTTAACTGATTCTCAAGACATGATATGAGACACATTGGACTGGACCTTTGGTCAGAAAACAGTACATCATTTTCATAACTAAAATGAAAGTGAGGTTCGATGTGTTTCATATTCAAAATCCAAGGTAACATTAGTGAAAGACAATCGTTTCCTTCCTTTTGGTACCATAAAGATGGCGACATAACGCATAAGGAAGTCAGTTTTACTTTGTAATATTGACAAGGACATCTTGCCCAATAGTTGGAATAGAACTGTTAACACATGTCGGCAATTGATGTCAATATTCAAGGTTAATGTGTATTTAAGGTGGGTATCTGTGTGTGTGTGTGTGTGTGTGTGTTTAAAATTTCTATGCTATGCCTCTTCGTTACAAAAAATAGCTTTCACTGGTGTCCCCGAGCCGAAGGCCATTTTCGTGGTGTTTCCTAGGCATTTTTTTCCAGCAGTTTTTTGTTAATTCTTGGTCAGTATTTTTTCAGTCGCTTTCTTCACTTCCTGCCAGGCCTTTACAATATCTGCTTGTTCAGTAAATCTGGAACACACTGCGAACCTATAAAAATCAAAATGAAAACCTTAATTAGTTATGTACGCGGTGGTTGCGGGTATACATGTTTGTACATTTGTGTGTGTGTGTGCGTGTGTATGCACTTCTACATTCATATGAGTAGGAGGAGGATGGATACTAACAGTTG